AGACGACTACATCACAAGACTAAGCGGTATACTCTCTCAGAAAGCTGCCGGAATTGTCGACTTACAGGCACGTCTTGCGCAGTTCCAGAGGCGCTTAAACGAGAATAATGTGCTGCTATATGCCCAATGCCCTTGATCAAAGGAAGTACCTATTTGTGATGAGAATAACGTGCAGTATATCTGTATACCAGAGCCCTTGATCAGAGGAGTTGCCTATTTGTCTTCACTACGAGGCTAATCAGAAAAGTTGGCTGTGCCACTGTTTGCTGGTATGCTCCGTAGAGATGCGGCCTTGCCTGGCCAATACAGCTGCAGTTCAGAACCCATAGACGCAAGACAAACGCAGAACTAGATGGCTAGTTTACTGCACTTTGGGATCGGCCGACTTCGTAAGCTATTTGTACCCGAGTTGCGCCAGTTGTGTCCTTCTGTTACATCCTTGTGTATATCGTGCAAATCGTGTCGTCACAGGATTGTCCTGTTATTTGTTGCTCAACAAATACACTTTTTTTTGTCTGATGTATGATGAATTCAGAGTTTTGTGATAATCCATTTTGCACCCAAACGAAGCTGATTCTGTGGTTGACATAGCTTTGTATCAAAACTTGTGGCCATCTGTACGCCCTCCGCTCTGTAGGCCACGTGACGTATTATGCTATGTGCTCTGGCGTAACTCAATATAATCAAACGAAAATATTAGCATTCGATATGCGGAATTATTTCCATGTAGTTGTATTTTCAATTTGTTGTGTAATAAATATATGATTGGAAATATAATTATTAGAGAATACGGAGTATTTATAGGTGACCAAATATTCTAAAAAAAGAATGGAGTTAGTGTTAGCTCATGGAGTAGCTAAACTGCAGGCTTGGTTAAGTGATCATACAGTGGGCCGAATTCACAACTAACGATCCGAGATGGATGGGCCTTGGGCTATGCTGGGCCTTGGACTACCAATGTGATATCAGTTGGACCTGATTCAAATTGATCGGGGTTACGTGCTTATCTCTAGCTGAGTGATTTGCTGGTAACGTTGATCTGCCTAATATCAACGGAAAGTGTAAAATCGCTGTATATCCTGTAAAACTCACTTAATCTTTTTTATACCCCTAAAATTTATCTGATCCTTTATATACACCTAAAATTTTAAATTGATCCATTCCATACCCTTGCCGTTACATTTTCCTTCATTTCATTGTTAGGTTTGGTGGCAAATGTCTTTAATGCACTTGATGATTTAGGTTTGAATATAATCTTGAAAAACAATTGAAAATTTTGATTGAGTGCACAACATGTGCATTTTATGTAACTAATGAGACTAAATAATTAGTGCGGAAAATTTTGACATTAATTTTAAAAATAAAACAAATGTAAGAAAATAAATTTTTTATTTGAAATTTAATAGGATGAAATATTTTTTTATCAAGAGCGTTCTTAAAAAAATATCGTGAGCATTGGTAGTCATATCTTTGTATGAATGCTCCTCATTTTTATGAATTTTTAAAAATAAAATAAAACATATTTTTTATTTTATTACCTAAAAATAAATTGTCATAAATAATGTATCGTGCAACAAAATGATAATTATTAATAGTCTTATGCGATAAACTTTTATATTTTCAATAATGTAATTTATAAAAATTTCTATGTTCATCCAAAGGGTAAAATGGTCAATTTTATAGAAATTAGATGGTCGACTGACGGGAGGGATATGGAAGGGACCAAAATAAAATTTTAGGAGTATACAAAGAAAGCAAGTAAAATTCAGAGGCATAAAAAGGATTAGCTAAAATTTTAGAGATATATAAGTGATTTTCTCCAACCGGAGTTGAAATGGGATTGCACTATATGCACTTCCTACTTCCAAGACATGTAGTCATGCACGCCTGCACGGATAGTCTGGTAGATATATGTACTGTATTTGTTTAGATTTGACTACATTAGCAAGTTTTTTTTTGGAGATAATAGAATTGAATTTGATAATAAATCATTTCTTCTCTTTCACGAGACCACAAATACACTCGATATAGTTATATATACTTTATATAATTATATACAACTATAATAATCGTCGATCTACTTCATTATAGGTTGCATTCACTATGATCAACGGTATACGTCTTTATTTTTCCTATCAACACATACTACTGATAGGCCCACAGAACGAACAATCTCCTGTCTTACGTCCTGTTTCGTTCATGGGTCTAATCCATTAGTCCCTTCATTTTAATCTGTTTTAGTCTCTAAGAATTTAAACAAGATGACTAAAATTAACTAAAAGTGTATGTTAGGATTAAAATCCATTAATCCCTTATGGAGATATTTGTAAGGAAGAAAGTGGCAGCCTCTCTCTTCTCTCTCCCTCTATCCACATACCTTTAGTCCCTTTTAGTCTCTGGATCTAAATAGTAGGAGACTAAAGTTTAAAGTTTTTAGTTTAGAGACTAAATGATCCAAACAAGACCTTAACATGATACTCCCTTTGTTTGAAGTATTTCAAAATTGAGGGCAGAGGTGGTTCAAATAACATAATACTACAAAGGTACGAATAACTATACTTTGGCACGGAGTAAATAGATAGATAAATCTATCTATTATTATATACTAAAAGTCCATTAATCTTCCTACAAACACTCTCAAGGAGCCACGTGGCTTTCTAAAAACGTTCTCAAGCCGTCACGTGGCACTCTAATAAATTAGAGAAAATCCTACAAATTCTGAGAAAAAAGCAAAACATCTAGCCCTTAGTTTTCACTTAAATTGGTGACCCAATATTTCAGGCCATTAAATTAAATCTATTAAAATCATTCCTTCTTCTAATATAGATACGATGCGTGGAGAGGAAGGTACGATGTACTATTCGTAAACAGTAAAAAAAAATCCTATGCGATGCATATGGAAGGAGAGGAATGTACGTATGTACTACCTAAAAAAAATTACATGATATACGTTTATATGAACGTAATGTAAGATCGTACGATCGGAAATTAAAAAGCATAAAGCGAAAAAACCAAATTATATATAAAAGTCCACTAAACTTTCTACAAACGCTTTTAAGCTGTCACATGACTCCTACAAACGCTACTAAGCCATCACGTGGCGCTCTAATAATTAAATTAGAGAAATCTAAAAAATTTTGAGAAAAAAAAGGAAAACATTATATCATTGATTTTCACTTAACATGGTAGACCCATCATTTTATCTCCTATTATCTCACCTGCTCACTTCTTTATCCAAATTTTCTAGATAGCAGCTCAGTACATAACAATAAGAAATGCTATATTAACTATCTATTATATAGTACAAATCAAATAAACTCCGTACAAACGCTTTCAATCTGTCACATGCGTGGTGTGCTACAAACGCTCCTAAGATGCCATATGGTACTCAAACAAATTAAGATTCCTAAAAATTATGATAAAAAACAAACCATTGATTTTCCTTTAAATAGGTGAACCCAAAAATTATATCTACTACAATAAATATTTTTTAAAATAATTTTTCTATCTATATTGATTCACATGCATAACTAATTGCACATATATGAGAAGTAATTAAAGAGAGGGCTAGCAGGATGGTAAAAAAAACCAATGAAAGTTTGTTGATATTTCTTCACGAAAGAGATATATAAAGAACACTCAATTCAAAATAGAAAATACGTTACTTTAATTTTAATTTGATTTGTTAGAACTATTTTCGAAACAAACTAATGCGCAGCCCGCGTAAATGCGCGGGCTATCTTCCTAGTTAAATAAACAATATAGAAAACCTAATCCATTAGACCAATGGAGACAGGTGTTGAACATAAAACATTTCACGTATTTTCTTTTTTAGCAAAGCAGTACGTAGTCCATGATTTCAATTAGCCGCAAAAGATATCATCTGCGAGGACATTATTAATTTATTTATAGAAGGTATAAGAAGGGACTTTCCTCTTGTAGTAAGAATGACTTTGTCACTAACTAATTCCACTGATGGATCTAAGCTAGGAGGCCCAAACGAATTAGGCAGGATAACCTCACAAAACCACCCACCAACACCAAACCCACTACTACTAAAATGGAGTAATGGTACTACTGGTAGCTGATAGTAAGACCATATGGACACAGAAAGTGGAGTATCCTTTCATTCCTAAAAAGGGCATGGAATAGAACAACCCCAATTTTGGAAACGGGGAGCAGAGCCATTCAGCTGTTTGGGGACCAAAGGCAAGGAGGCATGACCGACCGATCCCCATCCATTCCAAGCCTTCAAGGAGACAAGATATTTTCGAAGAGAGCACACCTAGGCCCTAGCTAGCACAGTGCGCGCTACAGTATAGTATTAGGAGCACTTCTTTTCCCCCGATTCTCCAATCAATCCAATCCAATCCTCGTGTAGGCCACCAGGAGGCCCCTCCATCCGTCCCACTCTGCCCTACCGCCCATCTCATCCCCATCCATCCGGTCGCTGAAATCCGCCGTGCACGTACACCGTCTTGTCGATCACGACCAAACCCCGGCCGCCTCCGCCTCCTTTCTGGTGGCGCGCACCGCCCGCGATCTCGATCGTTCACTCCCGGCCGTGCCGGGACGATCGCGCGCGCTCGCCGACCGGTGTCACGGATCATATCAAATCTCGCGTAGCTAGCGGTCGAAGTCGGTGGCCATCGTTTGTTCGCCTTCGCACAGGTGTCCGCTGATCTCGGCGCTCACAAAGCGGTCAACACCTAGTACTAGCTACTGAAGTACTGTCAAGAGATCGAGCCAAGCCGGGCCGGCCGGGTATATCCAGGGGCGATATGACGGATCTGGCAAGTAGATTAGGCATGCGGTTAGTTGGGATTAGATCGAGAGGCATGCACGCCCGCGCCCGCTTTGGCGTTGCCGGGTGCCCCGGATCACGCTGTTGGTCCAAAAGGCGGCACTGTTTAGTGTCATGGCCTCAAATCTCACGCGATGGCGACGTACGCCACAGCGGGAAGGGTCAGGAGCCCGACACTTGTCGCGCTCCGGCCTCCCGGACACTTCTATATGAACAACCCCCCCAACGCCCCAATAGTAGTATATGCCGCTCATATCATCACTTGTTTACTTTAGATCATGTCCTGTCATCGCAGTATAAGGGTTAACCACGATCGAGCGAGCTAGCCACCGTGCGTGGCTTTGCCTTTTGAGGGATTTGACGTGTAGGCAAAAGCTATAGCTCGGAGCAGTGGAGTGGCTTGGCTTGGCTTGGCTTGCTGCTCGGTCGATCGATCGAGAGATGGACGGGCTGCACACGGAGCTCGCGCTGGGGCTGATCGGGTGCTGCGGCGGCGACGGGCAGCAGCAGACGGCGCCGTTCGTGGCGAAGACGTACCAGATGGTGTGCGACCCGCGGACGGACGCGCTCGTCCGGTGGGGGAGGGACAACAACAGCTTCGTCGTCGTCGACCCCGCCGCCTTCTCGCAGCTCCTCCTCCCCTGCTTCTTCAAGCACGGCAACTTCTCCAGCTTCGTTCGCCAACTCAACACCTACGTCAGTATCATTCAATCGCCGGCGCCGGTCCGCCGTACTCCCGATGATTAACGCTTTTTCCGTCTTGTGGTACGTGCAGGGATTCCGGAAGGTTCACCCTGACCGGTGGGAGTTCGCGCACGAGTCGTTCCTGCGCGGCCAGACGCACCTGCTGCCGCGCATCGTGCGCCGCAAGAAGCGTGGCGAGGGCGGCGGTGGCGGTGGCGGCGCGTCCTGCTCTTTCGGTGGCGGCGCCGGCGAGCACCAGGTGGCTGCTGCTGCGGCCAGCGTGGGAATGTCGGGAGAGGAGGAGGATGCGGCGGAGGACGTGCTGGCCAAGGAGGCCGCGCTGTTCGAGGAGGTGCAGAGGCTGCGGCACGAGCAGACGGCCATCGGGGAGGAGCTGGCGCGGATGAGCCAGCGGCTGCAGGCGACGGAGCGGCGGCCCGACCAGCTCATGTCCTTCCTCGCCAAGCTCGCCGACGACCCCAACGCCGTCACGGGCCACCTCCTCGAGCAGGCCGCCGAGAGGAAGCGCCGGCGCCAGCACCTCCCTTCCCACGAGCCCACCGTCTGTCCCCTCCCGCCGGCGCCGCCGCCACAACCTCCGCAGCCGCTCCTGGCTCTCGCCGGCGCCGCGGCCATGGACGGCACCTACTGGTGGACGACGGAGCATCATCATCATCATCATCATCAGATGAAGCCCATGACGGTGTTGCCATCCTTGGAGCCGCCCACCGCTAGCTGCGGCGTGCACCAAGTGCCGGAGCTCGGGGGTGGCGGCGTGATGGGCTTAACGACGGACGGTGAGGCCAAGGTGGAGCCGCCATTCCCATTCTGTCTACTTGGTCAAGCTTTCTTTTAATTAACCTGCCGAATCATGCCCATGCACGTAGTAATTCTTCCATTCCACTTACTGATTCAGTCACTCGATCCTACGTACACACTGCCAAGAAAAAAAAAAACAGATGTTAGTTCTAGTGCAATGCATGCAGTAACACCAGCATCGATCAGTACGTGTTGATCTGATTATTCTTACAGGGTACAGATTAGATTACAGACGATGGTGTAAAACCTTAATTACTACTGTGTACTTATGTACAACGCATCAAACAATAGTGGTACGGTGTTGATTACTAGTACTTTTTTGATTGCTAGCTGATAGTTAATTAGTACTACTATTATTAGTAAGTAGTGTTTTCATTAGGTGGATGCATGGACATTTCTTCTTGCCCTCCAAGTTTGTAGGGTTCATGATTTCATCAAAGTGCTTATATTAATCTCTGCTGCATAACTTTTGCTGGAAACATGCATTTGGCTTCCTGTGATTGCCCATCTACCCTGATGTTAACTTCAGCAATACACTTAGTTTATTGAGTGGTTTGTGACTTTTGTGAGAAGTGGCTTTTGCTTTCAGACTCTTTAATTTCTCCAGGGCCCACTGCACACAGCCAATAAGAAGCTAGGGGTGGTGACGAATTGCCGATCGCTGTGCTGTGTTAATGGTCCAGGTGTCTGCTTCCATTAGCATTTTCTGTAGTGATGATGTTAATTAAAGTTTGGATTTGGACGTCGATGCCGGAAGCTAGCTAGCTAGCTAGCTAAGGGAAGCAGAAGAAGAAATGAAAGGCTCTTAGAGCTCACGAGAGGGCGCGCGGCGCGACCAGCGATTTGGCGATTTTTGACGTGATTTTCCCCTGTGATTTTCTCCTCTCTTCCTCTCTCCCCCGTCGCTCTCGCGGGCGCCGCGCCTTCGATCGAGTCCACTTCTTAATTACGCGCCCCGCGGATATGCAGGAGTTTGCAGGTATAGGAGTGTACTTGACTCCTTTAGTTTGGACTGAGATCGATCGATCGCGTGGCTTAATCGTGGCTAAGCATCGCGAAATCTTTGTTTAATTACACCACTAAGCTGGTCCTGCCCCCAGCTGTTAACTTCGGTGGCGCGCAAGGTGTGACACTCCGATTGATATATGATATATAATCCTACTAGTAATCTACCAGTAGTAATTTGCTTTGCGGGATTATTATTCCAACCTGCCGGCAGGTGTAGATCGATCGATATTTACAAAGATTTGGCTGTCCGCCAGCTTGATCGTCGATCGATATATCGATCGAGTGGTACTACGTGCTAGCTAGCTACTGGCTGAGCTATAGCTGTGAGGAGATATATATGTATATTTATGGGCGTACGGTAAATCACTAACTAAAGGCTGAGCTAATTAAGTACTCTAGGTGGTATATATATAGTAGTACCAGTATAGTACTCCGTCTTAAAATAAGTGTAGTTTTACACTATTCACGTTTAACATTTGACCGTTCGTCTTATTTGAAATTTTTTTATGATTAGCATTTTTATTGCTATTAGATGATAAAATATTAATAATATTTTATATACGACTAAATATTTTCAAATTTTTTATAAATTTTTTCAAATAAGACGAACGGTAAACCGTTAGACACAGATATTCACGACTGCATTTATTTTGGGACGGATGCAGTAGAATGTATAGCGCGATGCATGGCCACTAGCCAATATCCATCCACCACCCACGTGACATGATATGGTCCATGTCCCCCTCGGCCGGAATATGCTTATATGCAAATGATATGACGGCTCGTATAATTACGCTGGTCTCCATGGTCAGGTAGCCAGACACTGACGCGCTAGCTCTACATACATTACTGTATTTCGTAATTCATAAAAGAATTAATTGAAATATATAAATACCGTGATATCGATGGTAATTAAGGGAATGCCATTATGGAACGGGATATAAAATGATTTTTTTATCATTGTTTTCTATATATCGGAGTGATCGATGTCATGTCACTGTACGACGACGCAAGTGGCTGTAGGACTGCGTACAAGATCGGATGAACAATGATCACTCTCTTAATTGTTTTGACCCGTCGCGCGTTGAGATTATAGCGAGAGGGCATATGGGCAAAGTAAACGGATGTGTCCAAAACAGGGTGGGCCCCGCGATATATATTCAGCAGCAGGTGGCCCCCAGTTGGCAGGTCTCCATCGGGCACAAAGATGACTTTGGCCATGTTTAGGGGAGCTTCTCCTCTTAGCTGCAGTTTTTTTCAAAAATTGTTTCTGTTAGAAGCTGCCTCAAATAGTTACAGATTCTAAAAATGAAATAAAAAGCCAGAAACTGGAGAAGTTGGGTTTCAGAGTTTTTTCAGATTCTCATAAGCTGACTATCAAATAGCTGCTTCTCAGAATTTAAAACTCCCCAAACATATCCTTTGTCTGTGTTTACTGTGTGAAGCACCGATGGAATTATGTCTCGCGGGTGTACTGTGTTACGTTGGCGACCGTAGGAGCCCACCTTGATCACGCCGGCCTTAAAGGTGCCCATACACGTACAGTTACGGTTACTGTGAGCCGCATCTCCAACCGTCGCGCGACGACAGGCGATATACGACCAGCTGCTACACTATTTAATTAAGCCGCGTGACAACAAAGTTAAAAACAATCGATACTCATTATCAATCGACGGGCTAATTAACTAACAACGTTCTGGCGGTCAGTTAACGAGTTGATAATACACGGTGTAAACCCACATGCATGCAACTGTAGAGTATATACTTCTACTATTTACAGCACGCGCGCAAGCAAAGAATGCAGGATAGCTAAAGGCAAAGGCGACATGTATCTGCCTACCTATCTATCGATCGACCTCTCATCTCAAACCATGTGAGAAAGGAGGCAAAGGCAGCGTGTGTGCAGGCGTGACATGCCACTGTGTGACTGTGACTGTAGGATTGCCTGGGAGGTCATGCATGCAGGCGGTTCTCTAGCTAGCTATAGCCAACTTGATCGCACTGTTGCGCATTCAATCGCATGTTAGCCGGTGCGGGGCTCACCATGTCAGGCATAAAATATGTTATCTATGCACCTGCTTAGCTGCTAGGCTAGGCTGCTGCTAGCAGAAATCAAGCAAGCTGGCTGAGTAGTACGGAAGTGGATTTCTTGCTCCCTAGCTCCGTCCTAAAAATAAGAAATTTTGAATGGATAAAACACATTATGGCTATATTTAGTTTATTTAAACTTTTAAAAATTCCATCACATTAAATGTTTAGACACATGAATAAAACATTAAATATGGACGAAAAAAATCAATTACACAGTTTGCATGTAAATTGCGAGATGAATCGTTTGAGCCTAATTACGCCATGATTTGACAATATGGTGCTACAATAAATATTTACTAAAGACGGATTAATTAAGCTTAATAAATTCGTTTCGTAGCTTACATGCGGAATCTCGTAGTTATGGGTTTTTGTTATTAGTCTACGTTTAATACTTCAAATGTGCGTCCGTATACGTCCAAAAAAAATTTGAGGAGGAACTAAACACGGCCCATATTTTTAAATAAAAAAGGTCAAACGTTGGACACAAACCCATAACTACGCTTAAAATGCGATAGATGGAGTAAAACCCATATGTCGGTGACTTAAGTTAATTATATTTCCAGTTTAGTACATACTCCCTCTGTACCATAAAAAACGAATATAGAATTGGATGTGACACATCTTAACACTATGAATCTGGATATATTTATGTTCAGATTTGTAGCACTATAGGATATGTCACATTTGGTAATAGTTTATTTTTATGTAACGAGGAAGTACATCATCGTGCATGGCCGTTCAATGTTATCCATCGATCTCGCTGTTTCATACTCCGTATGTGCATGAGACCGAGTTCATGACTTCATGTGTGTGACGAGTTACAAACTTAGTACGTGGTATATATGCCCGATTTTAGGGTTTGTCGACGGATATTGGGATGGAAATATTATATCGTGGAGTTATATTGATACTTCCTTCGTCCTAAATATAAGAGTTTTTAGATGGATGAATACATCCTAGTACTACGGTTATAAACATACTCTTATTCAGATTCGTAGTTATAGAATGTGTCCCAGCATTCACCCAAAAACTTTTATATTTTGAGATACAGGGAGTATATAGAGTAGACATGGAGGAAAAGGAATATTTACGTGGTAAACTCCTCTGCCGCCATCACCCCTCTGCCTGATCTGGGAGGGAGAGGGAGAGGGAGGGGAGGGAATCAAGGAAGTGAAGGAGAGGGGTGGAGGATGAGGGTAGGAAGTGAGGGACTTAGCCGAGATGAATGGTTGGAGGCAGATTTTATAAGGTATCTAACTTTTTGTAAGCCGATATTTTTACGTCTCGTGTGTGAAAATCGATTTTTACATGTGTGATCTAAAGAGGTCCGTCTGTAAAAATAATTCTTACCTCTTAAGACCATACCTGTAAAAATCGACTAGTTTTAATTTTATAGGCAAGACTAGTTTTATTGTACCTTTACTTATTTTTGAAAATGGTAATTTTTTTTACCTTTACTTATTTTTGTAAATGGTAATTTTATAGTCTATCTGGAAAAATAAAATAATGATGTTGGAAAAAATCGTCTTGAAAATTCCTACAGTATATTTTTCCCTCAAATAAAAAAACTCTTATTTTTTATTAAAAAAAACTATGATTCCGTATATCCGTGGACAGAGGAAGAAGTTTTTGTGATGCGGGACGGGGGGTAACAACAGCAGCATATGCATGTTTGCACGCATGGATGCATGCGAAGGGTGTCGAGTAGTCCCCCCTTGCACGTGTGCGCGAATGGTTTGTGTTCCCTTGCAATGCCGCATGGCATACTGTGTGCGGGATATTGGACGCATATTATGGCTTATGGGGCACCGATCGATCGATTATTCTATCATAGATTCAAATATACGATATCTACACTATGATCGAATTGTTCTTATTCATAAACATTATGGTATACAGCACTATTATGTTCCTGCCTTCCTGGTATATATCCATTAAGTTAGGCCCTTGCTCTATTGTCAGTGGACTGGCATCTCTTAGGACATGTACAATGGTCTTTATTAGCGGTCTCTCTTTATTGTCATGCAAGCATATTTGGTGACGTGGAAGAGAGAGGAAGTAGGAAAGAGAAAGATGGTTGCTACGCATGACAACGGTGTAGAGTCGACTCTTAGCATTTATTAGAAAATTTTTTTGTTGCATTGAGTCTAATAAAGGAAAGATGACTAGTAAGAAAGTATTTTGGTACATTAATGGTTAGAGACTGTACTGGCTT